ATGCCTTCTCCCAGTCTCCTCCTTCATCCCTATTTCCATGAAGATATGTTACATTAAAAATAGCATTAGTGACTCCATTTTGCCCTATCCACCATTTTGTGAAGCTAAATTTTAGAGTTTCTTCAAAATCACCTGATATTGGAGAAGTCACAAAAGTACTCCCCCTGCCAAGTGTCACTCGACTTAAAGAATGTCACAAAACTACTCTTCTCTTTCAACCCAGTGATTCCCAATCCCCTCCACCAATCACAAAACTATCCCTCTCCCTCTCAGATCCCCTCCACCAATAAGAGGTGTTTGGATCCCTATAATCCTGTTTTTTCACTTCTTCCAAATTGCGTATTAACTATGTAGAAACCAACGGTCAGTGTCCTTGGTTACTTACAGCCTTGGAGGTTTGTTTTTGTAATCATATGCATTGCTAAATAAATTGTTGTCTGAATGTAATTACTCACTTTCCTCATTCCACTGTAAGAGAGGTGGCCCTTGTCCTTGCCAAGACAAACCCCTCTACATCTGTCTTTGATCCCACCCTTTCCTGATGTCTCCTGACTAACAACTCTGCTTTCTCTCTTATCTTCAATCTCTCCCTATCTACTATTTCCTTCCCTGATGCCTACAAACATGCCCTTATCTTCTCTATCCTTGGAAAACCTTCACTTGATCTAACCATCTGTTAGCTGTCATTTGCTCTCCATCTCTTCACAGATAAACTCCTCGGGAAAGCCATTTTTCCTCTTACTCTTCTAAACCTTCTGCAATCTAGCTTCCGACCTCATCATTCAACCGAAACTATCTCAACTGCTAAATCCAACGCTCTTTTCTCAATATTGATTCCCCCATGACTTCTCAGAAGCATTTAACACCTTCCCCTGGATACTCTGCTTTCTCTAGGTTTACATGACACTGTTCTCTACTGGTTCTCCTCCTATCTGTCCAACCACTCCTCAGTTTCCATTGTTGGTCCTTTATTCACGTCAAATACACTAAACATGGGTGTGCCCCCAAAGCTCTGTTCTTGGAAAAGGGACTGGGGGAAATTATTATTATTATACTATTATATTAATAATCAATTATTAATTTGTGATCCATCCTTTTCCTCCTATTTTTGTTAAATCCCCACTCTTGAAAAGGCTAGTCAGTCTCTGAACAGCCTGACCACAAATGTGATCACTCCTAGCCCCCAAAGCACCTGCTCTTTAGCTAGTTTGGGCTGAGCCCCACCCAAATAGGACTCTGGCTTTTATTTATTCTGTAAACAGATGCCAAACTGAACTACTACCCAGAGAAATTCGAGTGTCCTTGGTCCCTTCATTAGAGTCTGGGGAAACTTGGCTCATGAAAGAGAAATAAAACCAGAGAGACCCTGAGGAGAGTGCCCAAACTGCTAGAGGGGACTCAAAACTCATGTCCTGGCCACATTCTCGGCTAACCTTCCCTCCTCAACAATGTGGTCATTGGAGGGGCTGAGAGCTTTTAGCCCACTTCCTCATTAAGTGTCCACTAATTAGGGTTGCCATTCACTTGTCAAGGGAGGGCCCAATAACGTGCTATCAAGAAGACAGCAGGGGCATTTAAAATGATCCATGGTCTTTGTCTTTGCTTACCAAGAGAAACCACTGACCAACAATCTACTGATTACTGACTAACCTCGTTAATAAATTGATTATTAATACCTAGAAACTTTGTCTCTCAGAATTTTATTTGTGACAGGACTCTATATTACCTTACCTGGTAATCTATCAGCTCCCAGGGGTTCAATTATCATCTCTATGCAGATGATTCTCAGATCGATATAGCCAGCCCTAGTCTTTCTCCATTCCTGCATTACCAGTGACCCCTTGGATATCTCCAACCATATGTCCTGTAGAAACCTCAAACTCAATATATGTAAAACACAGCTCATTATTTTCCCCCGACCCACACCCTCCCCTCTTCCATGCTTCCTTATTATCTTCATGCTCAAAACCTCAGTATCTTCTCTGACTCCTCACTTGTACTTACCCCACATATCCATTCAGCTGCCAAATATTGTTTCTGCATTTATGGCATCTCTCAAATAGGTCTCTTCTCCACTCACACAGCTACCACTCTAGTTCAGGCCCTCATTACCTCACACCTAGACTATTGCAACACTTCTGGTTGATCTCCCTGCCACAAGTCTCTTCCCTAACTCCAGTCCAGACTCCATTAAGCCACCAAAGTGATTCTTTTCCTAGAATACAGGTCTAAGAAAGACTAGCAAAGATGGCAGAGTGGGAAGAAATAACTACTCCAATAAAGGCCTAGAAAGAGCACTAGGATGAACTGTGATCAGGATATCTATTTATTGCTTTTATTTTTTTGTGAGGCAATTGGGGTTAAGTGACTTGCCCAGGGTTACACAGCTAGTAAGTGTCAAATGTCTAAGGTCAGATTTGAACTCAGGTCCTCCGGACTCCAAGGCTGGAGCTCTATCCACTGGGCCACCTAGCTGCCCCTATATATATTTTTTTTAATGTGAAGTGATTGGGGTTAAGTGACTTGCTCAAAGTCACACAGCTAGTGAATGTTATGTGTCTGAGGCCAGATTGTAATCAGGATATCCAAGAAAAAAAATCATAATGAGTCATTTTTCCAAGTCATGTCAGCAAGCATAGGAAGAAAGACAGAAGCTTGAGGACAGTAGGGACAGGTTATAGCCAGAAGGGTACCATGTGGAGTCTTCCAGCAAGAGGAATAAACTGAAGTTTACTGGCTATGGCAAGAGGCAGTCCCAGATTCAGTAGGGATGGGCCTGACACTGTGCAACCAAATGGCAGCAATGTAGAGGAAAGCTGAGGTGCAGATCCAATATGGACTGAAGAAGGGATTTGCACTCAGGGAAAGAAGTGGTTTTGAGACTGAGGCTGTGTACTGGGCAAGGAACAAGAAGAGAAACATGCTGTAGTTGTGTGCCTCTGGCCTAAGTGTGGGATTAGAAGAGGTAGGGGTCCTTAGATTCAGCCTCCAACCCGGTCTGAGGCCTATAGCTGAATAATCAGGGCAAGAATCTCTGACCAAGGTGGATTCACTCTGAACCTTCAGAGCCTTCCAGCCAGCTAACAGAGAGCTGGGGCCTTCAGTAGTCTACTGGAACTCCAAGCAGGGGCAAGTCTACAGTGTACTGCCCAGACTCAAAGCAGGGTCAAGAGCTTGAAAAATTCCGATCAAACAGGCAGCAACTGACACTTCACCTTAGACCAGACTCTGTCAGGTCAAATAATCTCTCCACAAGTACGCAGAACAGAACCTACCCCTAACATAAAGCCCCAATTTAAGGATAAGACTGGAAAAATAAGTAAACAATAAAAGATTCCTATCATAAAGAGCTACTATGGTAACAGGGATGCCCAAGACACAAAGCCAAAAGAAAAAACGACAACAACTTTTAAAAGCAACACCTCAAAAAAAAAAACAGAATGGACACAAGATTCAACCAGAATTCCTGGGAGAGATAATTCAAGAATTAAAAATTAATTTATAAATGAAAGTGCTAAAGGAAAGGAAAGAATTGGAAAAGAAATGAGCATCCTGGAGGAAAGACTTGGAAGGAGAATTAATAGTTTAGTACAAAAGGTTGAAGTTCAGATCCAACCATGATAACACCCCTGCTTAATGAGATTCAATGGCTCCTCATTACCACGAAGATCAAATATAAACTCCTCTGTTTGGCATTTAAAGTTCTTCATAACCTGGCCTCTCCTACCTTTCCATCCTTCTCACACCTTAAACCCTCCATGACCTAGCTATACTAAACAACTTATAGCTTCCATCACTACTTGATCTCCCATCTCTGTACCTTCACACTAGGAGTTCCATGTCTGGAATGCTCTGTCCCTTTACCTCTGTCTTTTAGTTTCCCTGGCTTCTTTAAAAACTCAACTCAAAGGGCAGCTAGGTGGCTCAGTGGATAGAGCACCAGCCCTGAAGTCAGGAGGACCTGAGTTCAAATCCAGCCTCAGACCAAACACTTGACACTTACTAGCTGTGTGACCCTGGGCAAGTCACTTAACCTCAGTTGCCTAAAAAACAAAAACAAAAACAAAAACTCAACTCAAATCCTAACTGCTGCTGGAGGTCTTTCCCACTCCCCTCAGCTACTAATGCCTTCCCCTTTCAGATTATCTTCAGCTACTTTGAAGGTATGTATCTAGTCTGTATGTACCTAGTCATATGCATGTTGTATATCCATTAGAATGTGTGCTTCTGTGGCAGCTAGGTGGTGCAGTGGATAGAGCTCTGGGCCTTGAAGTCAAGAGGACCTGAGTTCAAATCTGGCCTCAGACAATTGACACTTACTAGCTGTGTGACCCTGGGCAAGTCACTTAACCCTGACTGCCTCACCAAAAAAAAAAAAAAAGAATGTGTGCTCCTTGAAGGCTTGGGGCTATTTTTGTCTCTCTTTGTAGCCTTGGTGCTTATGTGCCTTGCACATAACAAGCATTGTTGACTAGTTAGATTTAAATTAGAATCTTAATTAATTAAACTAGAAATTTAAATTAGAAATCTCTAAATCAGTCACAGGAAATCTTAAGAAAGGACTAGAAAACATGAATTTGTTCATGTTTCCCCTACAGTTCAAGAGAAAGAATTCTACAATTAGTTGCAGTTCTAGATTTATGAGATAATGACAAAAATTCTGATCTAATGTGACAGGCAAAGAAGAGTGACTAATCAAACTATCAGATGGCCTGACAATGCTAATCTAAGAAATCATAACTTCTTTTGCCTTGATTCTATATATATCAAATAATCCTCTGATTTTAATCTCATTTCCCAAGTTGGTTACCCTACTGGGAAAGGAATCTATCTTTGACCACATCTCTCGTAAGTGTGTCTAGCCTTGAAATTTGGCAGCTATCATGAGATATCACCCCAGTCTTGTATTCTAGTATTCAGGTCTAGGCAGACTAGCAGAACAATGAGGTCAAGAGAGCCTTCAGTCCCTGAACACACAGACAAGTCCAGCAGGGACTCACACTGCCATCCCATTCATGAACTCTTCCATTGCTTGGCAGTATATTGTGATAGCCACTCGAGCATCAGCATCAAAAGTGAACTCCAGGCTATACATGACTCTTGGCTTCTCATTCTCTTCTGTTGGGCTGTCAGCATCATCTTTGTACCTAGCCAAACAAAAGAAAAAAGGAACAGCAAAGTCAAATCGTTCAACAATCCAATCCTATCCCTCACAAGAAAACTTGCCAAATTTAGAGCCAATGGATTATCAGGATGCCAGGAAAGAGAAAGGAAACCAAAATTTCATCTTGCAGTCATCATCCTGCTTCAAAGTCAAACTGCTTATTTCCTCTAAATAGAGCTGCAGTCCTATATGGTTGTTATCATTGATAAACTTAAGGAAATGTCCACTTTCTATTCATTTACTTCCATTCCCCCAATTCCTGAAACACGCTCAGACGAAAATGAAACACGTCATCCTGGATAACATCTCAGCCAGTTTGTTTCTAAATAGGTCTTTTCTCAAAGGCATGGCTTAAATGTAAGCTTTGGTGTGTCATTCTTGAAACAACACTTCCTCTTGATAGACATCTATGCCTAAATGAGTGATACAATGGAGCTAGATTACTGTCATCTGCTTAAAGAAAACATCCTGCCTAGGAAATCTCAAGTTTGGCATTCTAATCATCCATTAGAATGTGAACTGCTTGGGGGCAAGGATTATCTTCTGCTTTTATTTGTGTCCCCAGAGCTCAGCACAAGCCTAGCACATAGTAGAAAAGAGGATCACTAGTCTAAACAATGATGAGTAAGTCAGTCTGCTTACTGACTGACCTACTCATCACTATGGCAGCTCTATTTTGTGCCCATAAAACCTGAGATGGCTATATCTTTGTGAAGACTATTCTGAGAGTGTAAATTTAGATGAGACCCAAACTAGGGAGAACCTGTACATGTCCAGAGTTATCAAAGAAATTCTACTCCAGGCCTGGACAGGTTACGGTTCAGATAACCCTTAGGCAAGTAGGTCCTAGGGCTTCCTTGGTGGATTCCAATTTAGGCTATGAACTGGCAATTGTCACATCTGATGTCTCAGGTAGATAAAGGATTCTTGTGATTATCTTGGTTCAACCACACATGGCTCCGAAAATATCCTGAAATGATATTTTTGGAAGGAATATTATGAGATGACCTCATAGCCCAGCAGTGCTATTATTTACACCAGAATGAAAGGAAGTATTTTTTTTCCTCTTCAAAAAACAACCAGATCTCTGAGCTCTGATTGTGTTTGCCATTTTGATGCACCACCTTCTTTTCAATGGACTCCTAGTACCTTTTTTCCTACTAAATCAAGGCCCTCCCTTCCCACCTTCCTTTCTCTCAGGAGACAAAGGGGGTCCTTCTCAGCATAGAGAAGCCTCTAAACACCACAAGTCTTCAAAACAGCGAGTTTCAGAGTTTAACACGCATGAATAAAACACTGCTCCCTCAAATAATCGGAAACATTGGTGATTGAATCTAGTTCAAAGCCTTCTGCTCAGCTTATGTGAAAGGACAAAAAAAAAAAATAGAATCATAATGGAATCATCAAAGAAACTGTTTATAGTCCCTCCAGACTCCCAGACTCTCTTTTCTTCAGTACCATTTAGAATAGTGAGCCTCTTTCCATTTAGTAGAGAATCTGACCATCCATTCACTTAGACCACACCCGTCGCACCCTCTGACTTTATGAGCACTGGATCCAACTTTCTCACCATTGTCTTGTATTTGAGGGAAGGAATGTTCAAAAAAATTACCTCACAAGCCGTAAGGAGTCTTTTCGAATATTCACCAAGCTTCTTAGGGTCTTCACAGGTTCATGAGGAGCAGGAGTGACATAGGGAAACTGGAAGACAAAAATCAAAACCAATCTGAAGTCAGTATCTAAGGATAGTGGGTAAATGCTATGCCAGACTATCCTCAAATTCAAGTATACAGGTTGCACTGAATCTAACCAGGGTCACATTTAGATATAATCAGCTAAACCATAGGGTTCCTGGGGAGAAACTTCAGTGTGTAACACATAACACAACAGTTTAGTATTTTGTGCTTTCCATTTGGCCATCGATGTCAAATTCTGCCAAAGGTCCAGAGGGTGAAGGAATCATCTATTTTATGGATGAAAAAAATGGAAGAAGAAAGACAAAGTAGTTAAGTAAGGCTTAGAATTTAAAGATTATCAAATCCTATTCCCATAATCAATCCTTAAAGATGGATTCTCTCGGCACCTTAACATTATTTAAAATTACACAGTTCCTAAAGCCCTGGAAGGATGTGAACTTTTGTTTTCATTATTTAGTTCCTCATTTTCAAAAAGCTATCTTCACTTTTCTGAAGAAATAGTGGACCTTCCTTCTCAAATGTTCAAACACCATCAAGTTTACAGAATAATTTAGGCCAAGAATTATAGCAGTATTCCAAATTTCAAAGAAATTTAGAAAACAGGCAAAAGTTATCTGTCCAACAAATTTGGCCATGTAAGGTAGAAGACAGATGCAGCAACAGTTAATAATGTGTCCCAGGTACCAAGTCAAATGTTAGTGATCATGGGAGAGAATCCAGGGAAATTTTCCAGCAGAATAAAGTTACTGTTAAAGAGACTTGGAGACAGAAAAGAAAGCTTTGAAAATGGGAGTAGTCCCAGAGAAAGCTCTCTCCTATACTCAAATTCTCTTTCAATGACAGATAAAGATTAGTCAATCAGTTAACTACCATTTATTAAGTACCTACTATGTGCTAAGCACTGAGTATATAAAAAAAGGCAAAAAACAGTCCTTGATCTCAAGGAGTTCACATTTCAATGGGGGAGACCACATGCAAATACCTATGTACAAACAAGGTATGTATATAAGATAAATTGGAGGTATTCTCAGAGGAAGGGTTCTAAGATTCAGTAGGACTTGATTCCTGCAGGTAGTGCGACTTTAGTTGAGATCTGAATGAAACTAGAGTAATTAGGAGGTGGAAATGAAGAGACAGAGTGGTACAGATAGCTAGCAACAATGCCTAGAGTCACAGAATGAAAGTGCTGTGTTCTAGGAACAGAAAGGAGGCCAATGTCACTGCACTGCAGAATATGAGGAGGAGAACAAGGTATAAGAAGACTGGAAAGGCAGGAGGAGGCCAGACTATGAAGGGCTTTAAAAGCCAAAAAGAGGATTTTATATTTGATCCTGGAGGTAAGAGGGATCCACTGGAGTTTACTGAATTGGGGGAAGAAGTGTTGCGGGGGATGGAGGGAGAGGAGGAGAGAGAATACTGTCAGACTTGCATTTCAGGAAAATCAGTTTGACAGCTGAGTGGATGACAGATTGAAGTAGAAAAGACTTGAGGCAGGGAGGCTACTGCAATCCAGGCAAAGGATGATAAGATAAGGGTCTACACCAGGGTGGGTGCAGTGTCAGAGAAGAGAAGGGGATATAAAGGAGAGATGTTACAAAGGTAGAAATGACTAGACTTGAAAGCTGACTGGATATGGGGTAGGGAGGGTAAGAATAAAGAACTGAAAATGCCACCTAGGTTGTGAGCCTGGGTGACTGGAAGAATGGTAGTATCCTTGACAGTAACAGGGAAGTTAGTAAGAGGGGAGGGTTGGGGGAGAAAGATTTAGTTTTGGATCTGATGAGTTTAAGAGGTCTATGGGACATCCAGTTTTTGATGTCTAATAGGCAGTTGGATATGCGAGACTGGAAGTCAGGAGAAAAGTTAGGGCTGGAGAAGTAGATCTGAGAGCATTCAGCATAGAAATGATAATTGAATATATGGGATCTGATCAGATCACCGAGAGAAGTGGGCCCAGGAAGAGCCTTGGGAGATCCTCATGGCTCAGCAGGAATAACCTACATGAAGATCCAGCAAAAGAGACAGAAGAGGAGCAATCAAAGAGGTAGGAGAACCACGAAAGAATAATGTCACAAACACCTAGAAAAAAAGAGTACCAAGGAGCAGAAGGTGATCAACAATGTTAAAGGCTACAGAGAGGTCAAGAAAGATGAGGACTGAGAAAAGGCCATTAGATTTGGCCATTAAGAGACCATTAATAAATGTGGAGAGAGCAGCCACTTTAGTTAGATTAGATCAGAGCTTCTAAAACTTTTTCCACTCGAGACCCCTTTTCAAGTTTCAGCAGCGCTTATTGGTGTTGCATGATGTGACAGTATGCGCAGTGCAAAATTCAAGTGCTTTTTGTTCAGAACTAAGGCTGCAGGGAAGTTGCAAGATGCAACATGGGCAAGGACTGCCAGAAACACCTCAATTCATTACACATTTGATTTTTAATTAATTTTTGGTCATTGCACATTCAGAAACTTTTACTGTTGCCAAATTGCCCGTATGGGCTTGCGACCCACAGTTTAAGAAGCACTTAGACCAAGAGCCCCATAGTATCAAAGGACCCAAAGTCAACCTAGAGACGACTAAAGAAAAATCCAAGTCAAGGAAAAGAAGTTTTGAAGTTGCTAACAAAACATTTCACCAAGACCAAAGGAAGTATCTGACGCTATGACAATTCAAAAGCACCAATAAAAGCTTGTCCACAAACTCAGACCTGCATTTGGTTTACAGCCAACCTGTATTTCTACTTCACCCTAGCTGGAGTGTCTTCCCTTCCCGCCCCCTTCACCAGTCCAAACACTATCTAGTCTTCAAAGTCCTCTCTGAAGGTCACGGCCTCTACCGAGCCTTCCCCAAACCCAAAGTTCAGTAATCACTGCTCCCATGGTACTCCTGTACATAGTCTATACCACAACTATCTCATGTCTGTTTATATTCATAGAGATCAGGATTAGGAATGGATCTGTGATTTCATTGGTGTAGGAGTTCCTAATGAGAAATTTCTTCTACCAACACATGTCAGCACCTTATAGTCTTTTTTAAAAAATTATTTTTTGTTAAAAATTGTTTTCACATGCAACTGGGAAATAAGATATACAGGCAATGGGGTACAGAAATCTATTCGGCCCTACAGGAAAATAGAAGGAGTAGGGGATAAGAGAAGGGCGGGAGTTGATAGAAGGGAGGGCAGATTGGGGAAGGGGTATTCAGAATGTATGCCATCTTGGGATGGGGGAGGGGTGAGATGGGGAGAAAATTTGAAACTCAAAATATTGTAGAAATGAATGTTGAAAACTAAAAATAAATAAACAAAAAAAAAGAGATGGGCCTTTATGGTAGTAGGATTATGTATGCTGAAAGCTTTGAAATTTCTCAAACATGATCATCCAAAATTTCCTGAATGCTTTTTTCTGAATTGTAGAATCAGCGTGTTGTTCATTTGTAGTACCTGTCAAGATACACATACTGATAGAGTAATCTAATGGTCCTCTGACTCAGCTGCATACCACAGCCTTGCTATTATGTTTTTCATTCACTTTGCCTTTCTTTGTAGATGATCAGACAAATTTCATATTGTTGTAGAACCCATCAGGAGACTCATTAGTGTTTGGAGCTGCATACAACATGTTTTGTGAATATAAGTTTTGGGGAACCTATCACTAGTAAATGTTTTTGTTATTGTATGTACTTTACCTAGACAATTTCCATGATACTAATAAACACTGTAAATTAATATACGAGGTATTCCAAAAACTCTAATTGCTTAAAACTGACCTAAGACTTATGGAACACCTTGCATATCTCCCTGTTTAACTTTTTACCATACAGCAATATTTAGTGTTTAAAGTTCAGTGTTTCATATATGCTATGTCCTTTTCTGATCCTCCAAGTTCCTAGAACTCTTATCTCTCTTAAATTATTCTCTATTCTGTTTTTTGAATTTACTTAAATGTGTGCCCATTTCTCCCCAATAATGTGCAAGCTCCTTGAAGCAGAAACTGTTTTATCTTTGTCTGTTTATCTCCAGAATCTACCATATTTCCTGATGTTCAATAAATGCAGAATGAACAAATGAAAAAAAAATTAAAAAATTATTTTTTTTCAACAAACAAAAATCTGTTTCTCTTTCCTACTCCCTTGGAGGAATAAGAAAAAGAAAACCCTTGTAACAAATATGCATAGGCAAGAAAACCTAATTTCCAAGTTGGCCATGTCCAAAAAATTAGTCTCATTCTGCACTCTGAGTCCATCACCCCTTTGTCATGAATCACTGGACTACCCAAAAGCCATGAATACCTATATATGTGCTTGTTGTTTCCCTCATTAGAATGTAACTCCTTGAGGGGAAGAACTGTTTCACTTTTTGTCTGTATTCCCAGCACCTGGCAAAGTACTTGACACACAGTAGGCACTTAACAAATGCTGCTGATTAACAGAAAAAGTAGAGAAATGAAAAACAAAGGCTCATTAGAAATTATTTCTTGTAAAAATCATGTAATCTTGGAGCTTACATGTCATTTCAACTGAACTGAACAAGCATTTATTAAGTACCTAGTGTGTAAAGTATACTGTCCTAGGTGCTGGGGGTCCTACAATGCCCCCCGCCCCTATCAACTGGTCATCCAGCTTTGGCTCTGCAGAAGAGTATATAGACAGTTCTCATATTACGTAAGTGGAATGTTCCACAGACCTCTACATAAGAGATTTTTACATAATGCAAATTTGCCCACGGACATGGGGAAGGGAGGGAGAGAGGGGGCCACACACCTGTAGAGGGAATAGGCCTGCACAAGGTGCAAGGACACATGAGGGCCAGAGACAAAGATGCAAAAGTAGGAGGAGGAACATGTGGGGACTGGGACCAGCCACACTGAGGCCTGGCTGGAACTGAGAGAGAAAAACATGGTGGGGTAGATACGTGGGGGGCCAGACACAAACACATATTACCCGAGTGTTGATGGACAGAAGACAGACATGTGGGGGACAGACATACTGGTGGGTACACAGGGAGGAACAAAGGTTTCCTATCTCAGTGCCAGAGGTCTCAAGCCAAATCCCTTACCCAGTGCCAGGGCGAATGGAGGTCTCTTTATGTATTTGTTCTTCTGCTTTCACTTGGAGGGGTTTTTTAAGGGTTTGGGTTTTTTTTGTTTTGTTTTGTTTGTTTGTTTTTTGCTAGAGCGGTGGCAGACTATGGAGCACCAGTTGAGGGGTTAGAGCAAAGAGAGAGAGCATAGCACTGTAGAGTAAAGTTAACATAGGTGGTTTTTGATATGGGGATTTCTTTAAGAATTTTTTGCATAAGGTGAATTTATATAAAGCAAGAACTGTCTGTAGAGGAAAAATCCTTGGATTTGAATTTCATTAGATTCAATTTCAGTTTTTAATTACTTCATTACCCTTCCTGGGTCATTATTTCCTCATCTTTATAAAGTGAGGAGATTGGCCTGGATGATATTAAAGGTCCCTTTTAGCTCTAAGTCTATATTCCCATGATATGAAAAATGAAGGGGTGAGATTAGATGAATTCTAAGGTCCATTTTACCTCTATATCTTTTGACAGTCCTATGATTTCCAATGATAGAGAAATCATTGTAATCAATACTTCCAAACAAACTGTTAGATTTCATAAAGCACCCTGAACTGAACCTAGGACTTTCTTAGGTACTTTACAATCTTCCCTTACTATCTATTTACTGACAAAAGCGAGCGGTTCCTTCAAACTCGACTGGAAGCAGAAGGGGTTAGTTAATTCATGAATGACAGAGAAGGGGAAAATGAAGCCAAAGCGTATGAAAGTGAATCATATCACAAAAATTTGATAGTCGTGGGCACAGTCCGTAATGGAGCTGGCATGGGATAGAAGAGGCCTGACTCAAATTAAACCCACATCTTCATGGACTGCTCAACTTGTCTCTCACAAACAAAAACATCAAACAAAAACAAAAAAGCCACCCCAGTTCTTGAGTTGAAACACTAGCTGGAGCTAGAGTGGAGAATGTATTTTTACTGCTGACCCTTCAGCACTTCACCCTCATCCCATTCTTTCTGATATAGTACTTCAGTACAGTCAGTTGATAAATATTTATTAAGCACCTACCATTAAGCACCTACCAGGGGATACAAAGAAAAGCAAAAGACAGCCTCTGTCCTTGAAGAACTCACAATCCAATGGAGGAGACAACAAGCAAACAACTATGTACAAACAAGTTACATACAGAATAAGCAGGAAGTAATCAACATAAAGAAGGCACTAGAATTGAAAGGGACTGCAGATGGCAGAGTTTTATCTGTGACTTAAAGGAAGCCAGGAGTTAGAGATGAGGAAGGAGAGCATTCCAGGCATGAGAGAGAGACAGAGATTGAAATGCACAGAGCTGAGAGAAGAAGTGTCTAGTTTGAGTAACTGCCAGGAAACTGGTGTCACTGGATCAAAGAGTACATGACAGGGTGTAAAGTGTAAGAAGCCTGGAAAGGTGAGGGGAAGATAGGTTACGAAGGGCTTTGGATGCCAGAGAATTTCACATTTTATCCTGGATGTGACAGGGAGTTACTGGAGTTTATTAAATGGGGGATGCCACGGTTGGACCCATGCAGGAAGGAGGCAGATACCAATTTACCTCAACTTCAATGGTTAATTATGAGAAATGGATCAGGAAACTTGGAGAACTTGATAGGCCATAGCAAAAGAGAGTCCTAACAACCTACTCTCATGCCATGAAGCCAAGCCTCATCTCTAACAATTCTCTAACATTGCCGTACCATTCCATGTGCACGAATACACGAAACCTTAAAAGACAAACCAGCCCTCTGGATTCTGTAATGTGGTCCCAAGTTCAAGGACTTGCCTGCACTGGTCTGTTGCCCAGGAAGTTCAGATCCATGTTCTCTCCAAAGAGGTAACCCTCAGGGTGAGGGGTGTCGAATTTCTCACCTCCCATGAAAAAGTGTGTGGCAAAGTAGTTTCCTGAAAAGATAAAAACACAGCTTCAGACCATGCAGGTCATCAGAGTATGATGGGAGTGTGTCAGGGATACAATGAGCCCAGCCCCAAAGGAGGCTATTCTGTAAGCAGGAGCTGGTTTCCTTCACTGTCTTACTTTGGGAGAACATAGAGGATGGACAACTTCTTCAGATCTGCAGTATCGTTAGTTTTGTCATTTCACCCCTCTGACAACCTCCCACTTTTTATTTTTCTTTCGTGATTAGGAAAGAAGGAATTGAGTAAAATAACTCAACCTAGGGACCTATATTAATCACTTTTTTTCCTTCATTTTTATTTTTCTTTTTTAAAAATTTATTTTCTTTTTAACTTATGGAAAAAAACAAGCTTTTCTGTAACAGTATAATAAAAAAAGAAGATTGCACATGAAACTGAAAATCTACTATGTATAACTTGCTATTCCTTTTAAATACACAACAAAATTATGATGTAAATTTCTTTATTCCTAAACTATCAATTATGCTTCTGAGCCAACCTCTGGAACTACATATAGGCTAGCACAGTCAAATTCTGATATTATTTTGCTGAAAGATACAGCTTTGCTCATCACTGTCTCACCTCTACCCTCTTGACTTGGTGGATACACATAAGCCAAAGTGGATATACCTGGAAATGAAAGATAATTCAAAGATCCAAGGGACCCCTTGGGCAAGATTTTCAAAGTTAATATGATTTATTTCTTAGTTCCGAGAGATAGGCCTTCTCCTTTCCAAAGCCAATCCCTCTACATGTTCCCTTGATCCCATCTCCTCCCATTTTCTCCTTCAGATTGCTCCTTCCATCGTTCTTCCCCTCTCTCTAAACTCCAACTTCTCCCTATTTACTAAGTATTCTTACTTACTGCCTTCAAGCATTCCCAAGTCTCCCCCATCCTTAAAAACCTTCATCATATACCACCTTCCCTATTAACTATTTAGTCCTATACTTCTCTTCTTTGTCATTAAAAATGTTTTCTATACTTGGTAACTCCACTTTCTCTCCCCTCACTCTTCTCTAAAGCCTCTGTAATCTGGCTCCAAACTGAACTCAACTGAACTGCTCTCTCCAAAGTTAACGATGATTTTAATTGCCCTATCTAAGGGTCTATTTTCAATCCTGATCTTTCAGTACCTTGAGGCCACACATCAAACATTGTTGACTACATTCTCATTCTCTGGTTTTAATGACATGCTCTTTTGGTTCTCCTCCTGTTAGACCACTCATTCTTTTTTTTTTTTTTTTTAGTGAGGCAATTAGGGTTAAGTGACGTGCCCAGAGTTACACAGGTAATGAGTGTTATGTGTCTGAGGCTGGATTTGAACTCAGGTCCTCCTGACTCCAGGGCCCAGTGCTCTATCTACTGTGAACCTAGCTGCCCCTAGACCACTCATTCTTAGTCTCTTTTGTTGGAGCATCTTCACATCATACCTACTAACTAAGAGCATAACCTAAAGTTCTTCCCTGGGCCCTCTTCTCTTTCCTCTCTATTCTCTCTCCTGAGAGCCTCATCAGCACTCATGGGTTCAATTATCATCTTTATACAGATAACTTCTACATACCTAACCTTAGGCTTGCCTCCTGAGTTTCCAGTCCCCTATCACCAACTGTCTATTGGCCTTCCTTTAATAACACCATCTATCATTCATTCATTCATTTAGAAAGTCTTGAGGCAGCTAGGTGGCACAGTGGATAGAGTACTGGTCCTGGAGTCAGGAGGACCTGAGTTCAAATCCAGCCTCAGACACATAACACTGACCAACTGTGTAACTCTGGCCAAGTCACTTAACCCCAATTGCCTCACCAAAAAAAAAAAAAAAAAAAAAAGTAACTGTTAGTTCCAAGCAATGCTACAAAAAAATAAAATAAAATAAAAAAGATAGTCTTTACTAAACACCTACTATATGTACAGGACCTATGCTAAATAGGCTCTTCGAGATCAACAAAAGAAGGTAAGGCATGGGTTCTGCTTTCTAGGAACGTACAATCAATCTAATTGAGGAAACAGGATATACGGTACTTTACACAAAGTTGGTCCTCAATATTTGCCAAAAGAATGAAATGCTGAAACAATTAAGTAGCTAAGTTGAAAAACAAAATTTTTTTGAGCACGTTCTTATGTCCATGAATGACACTGTGTCTGGCCTGTCATTACAGCAATATAACACAATATAAGATTAAACAAAACAAGCGATAGAGACAATGCACTGAAATTCAGAGAAAGGTCTGGCACCCTGGGCAAAACTGGAATGCAAAATGCCAGACCTTGCTCCATTTCTCTCTGTCCCCTCAGTAGTACCAGTAGAGTTTGCTCTACTAATTTGTACTAACTTAAGGGTTTCTTTGGAAATATTCTTATGTCTTTTCCAATTGTGTTCACTTTATTCACAATTAAGACTACAAGTTCTTCAAGAAAAGGAACTGTGTCTTCTTTTATATCTCTCCAAGGTTGAATAAGCACAGTGCAACCCTGTGAATCACTGAAGAGGCATTCATTCAACAGCCATGGATGCTGGCTGTCAGGCCTCAGCACACCTCCTGAGGGCTCCTTCTATCTCTTGTATAATCTTCACAGTGCCTAAGCACCGTGCTGGTCTCCAGTAAAGATCTTTTGAGGCACAGGGGAAGAAATACAAGAGAATACCATTCCTTAAGGAACTTACAGCCTACCACAGGATAACGAATGAAGTGCCCACATTTTTTTAATCTCATGTGATTCCATCTTCACCAGTAGAGAAATGTCAGCTATTATGAGGCAACAGTGGCATAATGGAAAGAAGTAACGCAGAAGAAAGAGTTCGTGAGAGTCAGAGGCCTGAATAAATGCCCAAACTCTGATGCTTCCCAGCTGAGTGACCATGAATAAGTTATTTAGCCCCCAGTACACTAGCATCCACCTCACAGCAACGCTATGAGAAAGGTTCAGTGTAAATCTTAAAGTCCAATGCAAAAGTGAGCTATTGAGGCAGCTAGGTGGCACAGTGGATACAGCACCGGCCCTGAAGTCAGGAGGACCTGAGTTCAAATCTAGCCTCAGACCAAACACTTGATACTTACTAGCTATGTGACCCTGGGCAAGTCACTTAACCCCAACTGCCTAAAACAAAAAACAAAAAACAAAAAAAAAAGTGAGCTATTATTATTAACATGGAAAACTGAGAATTGATCGTAGTTAGAAAGCCTTTTGGAGCAGGAAAGCAATTTAAAAATAAAAACCAGAGAAGATGGTGGAGAAAAGGCAAGGGACTTGTCTGAGCTCTCCCCCAAACCCCTCCAAACAATTTTAAATAATGCCTAAAACCAATTCTGAAGCAGCAGAACCAACAAAAGGACAAGGTGAAATAACTTTCCAGCCCAAGACAACTTAGCAGGTTGGCAGGAAAGATCTGTTGCACAGGGATGAGAGCAGAGCTCAGTGCAGCACAGGCCATGCCCAGCAAACCAGTAGTAGGTTTTGGAAGTGACTGAATCAGTGGTAACAGTGGGGGTTTCTGGACTTCTCAGCCCACAGACAGTAAGGGGGCCAGACAACTGGTCAGAAGAAGATGACAGGAATTCCTATGCTGGCACTAGAGGCAGGACTCTGTTGCTTTGCCCACACTTGGACCTAGGTCACAGTCCTGGGTCTCAGTCCCAGAGCAAGGAGCAGCACTAGCACATCAGAGCTTGTGGCCGGAGGGGAGATAGGACCCTGGTCACAGTTCCAGGGCAGAAAAGAGTGCTTGTGGTTGCTCACAGAGCAGGAGAATAGTAAACACACCTCTTCCTAGGTCATACCATCTTGGAAGAACCAAAAACTTACAGGTTCCCAGAATTATCTTTGAAAACAGCTGCATAAAAAACCTGAAGCTTGGGACAGTGCTCCCTCCAGTCTGGAAGCAGATCCTCACTTCAGCAGAGAGTTAAAAGGCAATAGAAAAAAAAAAAGGCTGGATAAATGAGCAGATTATATGCTGACTATAGGAAGTTATATTTGACAGGGAAGATCAAAATACAAACTCAGAAGAAGACAACAAAGTCAAAACTGTTAAATCCAAAGCCTCAAAGTAAAACATGAATTGGTCTCAGGCCACAGGAGAGCTCAAAAAGGCTTTTAAAAATCAATTAAGACAGGTAGAGGAAAAATTGGGAAGAGAAATGAAAATGATGCAAGAAAATTGTGAAAAAAGAGCCAAGAGCTTGGTAAAGAAGGCACAAAAAAATATTGAAAAAATAACACCTTAAAAAACAGAACTGGGGGCAGCTAGATGGTGCAGTGGATAGAGCACCAGCCCTGAAGTCAGGAGGACCAGAGTTCAAATCTGGTCTCAGACCAAACACTTGACACTTACTAGCTGTGTGACTCTGGGCAAGTCATTTAACCCCAGTTGCCTTAAAAAAAAAAACAAAAAAACAAACAAACAAAAAAAACAGAACTGGCCAAATAGTAAAAGAGGCACAAAAATCCAATGAAGAGAAGAAAGCAGAATTGGCCAAATGGAAAAAGGTATACAAAAATTCACTGACGAGAAGAACTCTTTAAAAAGCAGAATTGGCCAAATAGAAAAAGAGGCACAAAAATTCACTGAATAAAAGAACTCCTTAAAAAAGTGGAATTGGCCAAATGGAAAAAGAGGTACAAAAGCTCACTGAAGAAAATAATTCCTTAAAAATCAGAATTAGGAGGGGCAGCGAGGTGGCGCAATGGATAGAGCACTGGCCCTGAAGTCAAGAGGACCTGAGTTCAAATCCAGCCTGACCAAACACTTTACACTTACTAGCTGTGTGACCCTGGGCAAGTCACTAAACCCCAACTGCCTAAAAAATAAAATAAAATAAAATTTAGAATTAGGGGCAGCTAGGTGGTGCAGTGGATAGAGCACCGGCCCTGAAGTTAGGAGGACCTGAGTTCAAATCCAGTCTTAGACCAAACATTTGACACTTACTAGCTATGTGACCCTGGGCAAGTCACTTAACCCCAATTGCCTAAAAACAAAACAAAACAAAAC